ACTCGAAACATGACAATAAATTGCGAACTTGAGTAATGATGCGGGAACACAGGGAGAGTGACGACGGACCTAAGGAACAACCATTTACTGATGGAAGCTATCAAGTTTTTTTTTTTTTAGTTTTTTTTTTTAGTTTTTTTTTTACCAGATACTTGGCTAAGCATTTAATAATTGTAATAATACATTGTGTTTGAGGATAGGCAGCCAGTATATATAAACTCTTGGCTCCTCCCCCCCCCCCTCCCCCACACGAACATCGAATTACCGACCCGTCGAATTCGATAATTGGACGAATTACTGAATCGTCGAATTACCGACGAGAGTTACATCCTTCGTCCAGGATGGAACCCCCACATCAAGCTGACTAACTCTTCTGTACACATAGGTACACATGGGTACACATGGAAGACTAGCAAGGAAATTACAGGAACGTGGAATAAATGGTTGAATACTAGAATGGATCAAACAATATTTAAAACAAAGACAGCAAAGGGTCACCGTACAAGGAAATGATTGTGACTGGAGAAATGTCGTGAGTAGGGTACCGCAAGGTTCCATTTTGGGGCCAACTTCTTTTGTCATGTAGATTAATGGCATAGATGAAATTATTACAAACCACATCATAAAATTTGCAGATGACACTGAGATTTATGATAAAGTGGGAAGTGAAAATGATAATGAGGCCTTATACAAAGAGATCTACATGGAAGCCACAAATGGTCGGAAGATTAGTAAATGCTTTTTAATATTGGAAAATGCAAGACCTTGCATGTGGGTCATACCAATTCACGTCACAACTACCAAATCAACAACATTACTTTGCAGCAGTTTGATGAAGAAAGACCTCGTTGGAGTCAGTATTCCACCAATCACTGAAAGTTGCACAAGTGGGAGCTCAGTAAAAAAAAAATATCCTAGGAATAGTCAAACGAAACTTTGACTTCAAAGAAAAGAAAGTAGTTATTAAACTGCATAAATCTGTGGTGCGTCCCCACTTGGATTGTTGCATCCAAGCATGGAGACTTCACCTTCAGGAAGACATATCTGCTTCAGAGAAGGTTCAACACTGGGAAACAAAAATAATTCCTGAACTAAGTCGACTTTCATACCAGAGACGATTGATTAGAGGGGGGGGGGTTAGAAATAGCCTAAGCTACTCTATCCCTTTGAGATAATTTTCTTGTCTCAATAAACATACATGAACTTAAACTTGAGGGACACAGGGTTAGCAACATTGCAAACCAAATATGATAGGGCTGATCTCATCGAAACTTTAAAATACTGCATTCTTTCTAAAATCAGATATTATGTTCCTCGCCCTGCCCTGGTGACGCTCTATTACTTCCTCATCTATCCTTACCTCAATTATGGTATTTGTGCTTGGGGTTCTACACCCTACACTACACAAAATCATTTACGTCCTCTAATTACTCAACACAAAGCTGCTATTAGAACAATATCTAACTTTGGTCCCAGACAGCACTCGGTACCCTTACACAAATCTTTGAATATGTTAGATATTAAGTCACTGCACATTCTCTCATGTGTACTCTATATATTTAAAACTCTTAACTGCAATGTCAATCTTGACCTTAAAAGTTTCCTTGAAGGTTGTAACAGAACCCATGGGCACCACACCAGAAACAAATATCTACCAATCCTTGTAAAAATTTATTGTATGTATGTACCTTACCTAAATAAAATTGTATTGTATTGTATCTATTTGATATTCCAAGAGTGCGACTTAATCAAACTAGAAATGCTCTACAACTTAAGGGACCCAGAATGTGGAATGACTTCCCTAATCGTGTCAAAGGCTGTACCCCTCTCAACCAGTTTAAGAGTAGAACAATCGTGTCAAAAGCTGTACCCCTCTCAACCAGTTTAAGAGTAGAACAATCGTGTCAAAAGCTGTACCCCTCTCAACCAGTTTAAGAGTAGAACTAAGTTCTACCTAATTAACTCCATGTAACCTACCTTACCCCCTAAATGTCAACCCATGTCTTGCTATTCTAAACAATTCTGTTTGTTGACCAACTTGTACAATTGCTGATATTTGCCATGTTCCTCCCTCCCTTTTTTTTTAATTTTTTATTCTTTTTTTCAACACAATTTATACTTTACTCCCAATTACTATTATATTAAGTTTAGTCTAAGTGTTTTCCTCCACACCTTGCCCGAAACACTATGCGTATTAGTGGCTTTAGGTATGTACAAGCTCTATAAATCCAACAGTATGTTTGTAACTCTGCATCTATGTACGTACTTTTCCTAAATAAAATATTATTATTATTATTATTATTATTAGTATTATTATTATTATTATTATTATTATTATTATTATTATTATTATTATTATTATTATTATTATTATTATTATTATTATTATTATTACTGAACAATTTGGAGGAAATTGATCCAGATCACTTCTTCAAAAGGTCTGATGTAACACAAAAAAGGAGCATTGGTTTCAATCCCAACAAGCCACAATGCAGGACAGAAAACAGAAAATGTTTTTTTTCACACCGCCTACCCGCCGAAGCAGTAAATGCCAAAACACTGCTGAATTTCAAAAGCCATCTCGATAAAATCAGAAAAAATGTGGGGACCTTTGACAAGTCGCCGGCTTCCTATCCTCGTCGAGGACACTAGAAAGATAGTGCCTCTCAGATAGATTCGGGTAAATATTCACAGGCTTCCTGTCCCCAATAAAAACAAATTAATTTGGTTGAGTTCGTGTAGTGTTCTTATTTTTATTTGAGTTAGTGTTAAATTTTATATTCGTTTTCTGTTAATAAATAATATGAGAGAACTTTGGTTTCCTTTTGTCAGAGACGGGAGACTTATCGAGGTTCTCGCAGGCCTGTGGTTTATTTATTCCTGCCGTCACGTTCCTGAAGACACCCTCATAAATACTGTCAAGCAGTATCCTCCCAGCGATAACAGCTTGACGATTAAAAGCGACCTCAGAACACTGAAAAAGATTTACTGAACAAAAATTTGTTCCACTTACGAGCTATTCATGCTCGTGCCACCTCTTGGGTAGCTTAATCTTTATCGATCAATCAATCTTCAATTATATGCTGAAGGAGGAACTAGGAGAGTCTCATGTTATGTCAAAAGTACCATACCTGCTGAGATAATTGGAATCCCTCAGAGATATAGACGTATTGAAAGTATTAGTTTGCAGATACAATTACAAGACCGAGAGTTAAATTTCATTAATCTATACATCTCTGATAGCTCCCTTGATTTAAGATACTTGCCAGATTCCTTCTTTTCCAAATATACACTAGTGGTAGGTGATTTTTATGCCAGACATCCAGCTTTTGGATCAAAGGGTTGCATGATCAAGGAATGGTTGCAGATGGTACCAGTTTTTGCAGGAACATGTTATTCAACTACTGGCCGACCCCTCTCCAACTCATCTGCGGGGAGGGAGATTAGATTATGCTTGTTTGATAAATGCTCAGGGCATAGAGGGGAATTGTCTTACTGTGGATGAAACGTTAAGTGATCATTTTGCATTACAAATACAGCTTAAACTAGATAAAGTGGTAAGACACTCGCCTGGCATTCCACGAGCGCTATGTCATGGGTTCGTATCCTGGCCGGGGAGGATTTACTGGGCGCAATTCCTTAACTGTAGCCTCTGTTTAACTCAACAGTAAAATGTGTACTTGGATGAAAAAACGATTCTTCGCGACAGGGGATCGTATTCCAGGGACCTGCCCGAAACGCTACGCGTACTAGTGGCTGCACAAGAATGTAACAACTCTTGTATATATCTCAAAAAAAAAATTAAAAAATAAAAGAAATGCCTGCCTTCAGAGGAAAAGGTTAGTTTAGTGAGGGAAAATTAAGGGGTCTTGTTGGTCATATTAAATCTTGGTATGATACTTATAAGCCAGTTTTGGCAGAAGCATTTTATGAAGATCTAGTTAAGGAGGTAGATGTATTTAATGCAACATTGAACAGAAGAACCTCTAGTATAAAAAAGCATCCCCCGAGAACAGAAAATTATACACAGGACAAGACGCTTAAGGGGTCGACATTAACAATGAGAAGAGCTCACAGGGATTGGTATAGGAAATACTTTACTGGCAGTTGCTAGGCTGTGTGGGGAGAAAAGAAAGGAAATTAGGAGCAAGTATTGGCAGGAGTTTCCAGAGAAAGTTGGGAGTATATGATCATCCCTATCCCTAATGCCAATGGAGAGTACAGACCTGCACATGTCCTTAACCTCATGTTTTTGTAAAATGATGGAGAGGATAATTTTAAATACTTTTATATATAATAGGCGATCAGCTGTCTAGTAATTTGTTCGGGTTCCTCAGAGGCAAAAGTACCTCTACCTGTATTATTAAATGCCTAGCTAATAATAATGATTACTATAGAATTTTTATTGATTTACAAGGAGCTTTTGATAAAGCCAACAAAGAGGTTATCTTATATGAATTAGCATTTTTGCCGGGGCAGGAAGACCACTAGCGATGGCTAGTTTATTGTGCACCCCATACTCATCCTGTGAATGGCAGTTTATTATGTATTATATACTCATCTTGTGAGTGGTAGTTTATTGTGCATCCCATATTCATTGAGTACTCATAGTGTGTAAAAACTTGAAAATCAAGGTGCATACACATAGAATAACTCTCAGTAGATCAACCAATTGGCTAGTCATTCCAGACTCCAGGGAGGGAATAGATCTTTATTGTCAAAATAAATTCCCAGCATGAAGATATAATAGAATGCATCACCATGTTGGTTTGGTGCTCAAATACTTATTAACCACAGGAGAGTTATTAAGGTCATCATACTAGCTCATTGACCAGCTAAACTATACTTGAGCTCTGAGAATAGTTGAGGGCTAAAGTAAACTCAATGTATATAGACTGAGAAATGGGGTTCACCTGTTAAGTGTATACTGTACATCCCTGTCACTACATAGTTTACCAAATCAATTACAAGCCTGGATATATTACAGTATATACAAAGAGACTGAATGCACTTTTATTAAACACTATTCACATTGCAACCATACCAACAAAATTCAAATTTTAATGTAAAATTAGTACAGAACAAAAGTTCGACTTCCTTGGCATCCAAATTTTAAAACGTACATTAAAACTTTGTTATTAACAGAATATATTATCCAACAAACACTGCTTCTCTACAATAAATAAGAAGCTACACAGATCATACTACATAAAACACTAGAAATGACAAATGAAAACTCTCCCTTAAATACAACTGACCAAAAAGTGTAAAAATACAATATCCCAAACAGTGCCTTTGAAATAAAATAACAGGGGGGAAATTGGATACCATCAACATGTATTTAGAAGAATACACAAAAGTCAAAGTTAAACAGTTAATAATCAGTATTTCATTATAAAAGCAAGAATCCAACCTAAGAATTTTTACTTATTCATTTGGCAAGACAATTAAATTTACACTTAAATGAATCCATTATAACTCCTCTGCATACCACAGGAGAAAATCTTGGTAGACATGTTACTATAACTGCTTCTTTAATCTAAAAGTTATTTAAAATTGGTGTTACATTGCTATTATTGGACTAGTCTCATTCATTTGACTTAAATACTCATTTTAAAAAATTAATTATTCAACAATTAAAATAGTTCTCTAAATTTTTACATACATTTCCTGCACAGCTACTACACCGCAGTAAAACCATCCATACATTATAACTTTTTAAATATATCTTTATTTCAATCTTTAACTGTACAGTACTGTATTTTTTATGATAGGTTGTTCTTGACATAATATTACACTTTATTTTAAATTTTATTGTAATTGCCCTTGAACAATAAGTTAAAAAAGTTAAAAAATAAGTTCAAGTTCAAGCACGAGCTCAAAAAAATACAAATTTCAAGTATGTAATTACCAAATGAATACCAATAACAACATCACAGGATTTGAAATACATTTTATTCTATCAGCAGGGATCTCCAGTCCCTCATTTATTCTACTAGCAGGGCTCTCCAGCCCATCATTTATTCTATCAGCAGGGCTCTCCAGTCCATCATTTGTTCAATCAGCAGGGCTCTCCAGTCCCTCATTTATTCTATCAGCAGGGCTTTCCAGCCAATCATTTACAACATTAAATGTTTCACTGTTTGAGCAGAAAAAACTAGACCAAATTTAAAAGGGAAATTCTTAACAGGGCATTTTTTTCTTTAGGCATAAAAATGCTCTTTTGTTGTAATAAAATATTACAAACTTGATATCTATAAAAGTGTAAAGTTTACAACTTTAAAAATTATTGGTATAAAAAAAAAGTGCATCAATGAAAATATTAAGGCATCTTGGCTATGACATGTAAAATGTAACTGGGTGTATAGAGTTCACAAAGAAATATACCTGTTCAACCAAGCAAATGTTCTCAAAGGGTAATATTAAGCATGGGAGTATCATATAATGTACCATGAGTAAATGGATTAATAATGATGTATGGCAAGGAAGTGTAATGTGTGGTGGCAAGAGTAAGGTCAACTTCTAAGGATACAGTTGAGTCAGCAGACTCATGACAGAACAAATTAATAGGTCTGGTTAGGTACCCTATGCTAGTTACTTGAATATCTGACGAAATCGAGCAGAGGTTCAGTAGGAGCAGAAGTGGTAGAGACAACACTATGTACTGTATACATATATATTATACTGTGTGTGTATGTGTATATATATATATATATATATATATATATATATATATATATATATATATATATATATATATACTTTATATGCCTTGTCTAATAGAGTATAATTTTCAGACGATTCTACATACTTCACTGACCAGTTGGAGCACATGCACATAGCAACAATAAAAATAGTGACTTGCCTAGAGAACAGTACTTTAAGAAGCCCTAGCTGATATTGCGAAACATTGTATCAAATGTGGTACAAAATAATATGAAAATATTGTTTAAACAAGTGAGCTACATTATTTTACTAGATATGAATTGCACTTAAATTTATGAAATAACAATTTCAATCATCTTCAGTTGTGTGAAATTCAGACATTACCCGAGTTATTTTTGACATCAGATTATGTTGGCTTGCCTCCGGTAGCTTCCGAATTGAAGCTGCAACAAACTTTCCAAAACTTTCAGCAACATCTGGATCTTTTTCTAGCTTCCGTAAAATTTTAGCAGCCCTCTCTAAATCATCAGAATTCATTGCCCTACTGCTGCTTATTGAGGACCGTTTTTTAGCATTCAGCTGAGGTTCGTTGTCGGAATGTGACTGTACAGGCTGTGAGGGTGCAGATGCTGTAGGTCTGGTCAATCCAGCAGAAGGGGTGGCAGATACTGCATAGGTACTTGCCCACTCCCCACCAACCCTCACACCTTCCTGACATTCTTGCTCAAGTCTTGAGCGCTCATCATGTATTGCAGAGCTAATAGCATGGTTTTCATCTTTCACTGATGAGAGTTGGCTTCTCACCTAATAACCAAAATCCAAAATTAATGTTATTACTGAAACCTATATTTACTTATTGCATCTGTGTACATATTATACAACATGATCAGATATATCTATTCAATCATAAGTGTGTGAAGAACACTGAGTAATAGTATTAGCAAATCCACATAGAACAGGAAACAAAATGAAAATGAATCTTTACTTTTTTGGTGTCTGTACAATATCTGCTAAATAGTTTAGTTCTAATGTCCAAAATGTACAGCTCTTATTTTCTCTTTGTCCATGTGGATTTGCTTGTGTCAAATATATTTATCTTAATGTTAACCTATCTGTAACATTACATCCTCAACTAAGTGTATTGAGCCAGGCACACAAATAAATTGCCTTACTTTATCTTATGCCAATAAAAGAAATGCAACTTTTTACGTTAATAATATCCCTATAGTCACTAGGGACTATTTGCCAACTCTTTACCGACATACATGGCAATACTATGATGTGCAGTAAAGTTTAAATTTATAGCTGGGAAGTGAACCATCAAATACATAACTTTAAACTGTTTACCTGGAAGCCTGCAGTGGCTGGGAGATTACTGTTACTATTGACATTAGCAACAGATAATAAAAACCGCATTCTGTTAAAATGGACCCAACTGGAGGTGTGTGTGTTATTCCCTGTCTCACGCCTCTTATCACTAGCTCGTTTCAATTCACGGAGAAAGGAGTTTCGCAGATTCCTATATTTCTTCCATACATCTACTGCAGGAAGAGAAGAGCAGTGAAAAATAGTTATTGATAATAAATGAAATGGTTAATTCATTAGTGCACTAATATATACTATGATACCTGTATTGGAATAGACCATACATTATCATATCTGATTATCTCTATTTATTTTAATTTATATGTAATATGCCTGAAATCACCTGACTTCACCTAAGGGGCCACCATCTGTAGTGGCTTTAATGGGGACAGGAAGCTCATGGCTTGTCAAAGGTCCCACCTCCCCATTGTTTCTGAGGAGTTTTCCAGATTCAGTGGGTAGGTGATTCCATTTAATACCCTAAGGGTAAAAAACATCTTCTGTTCTCTGCCCTATTTGTGGTCTGCAGAGCCTGAAGCTGTTATTTTTAGTATGCTGCATTGGATGCTATATATGTACAGTGTATATTTATTTCAATTTTCAGTACTGTACAGTACTGTATATTAAATTAAACAGGTGAAGATATGGTGTTGGTGTATTTACCTAGTTCCTAAGATTTAGATTGATAAAAAACTACGCCAAGCCATTACGACTATACACGTACAGTATATAGTCGTAATGGCATTATCCTGACCCCACTTGGATGGGGTCAGGATAAGGATTTGGGATGGGACAGGGGAAAGGAATGGTGCTCAACCACTTGGACAGGAAATTAATCGCCGTCCTGCATGAAGCAAGACTGTTGCTCTATCGTCCACCCCAAGTGGTTCGGTACAGACAATCCCCGTCTTGACAAGTTGATGGATGGCAAATGTCCAATTTACCACATCTGTTATTGGAAATGATGATTTCCTGTTCCTCTGTTCTCCTGGTAACTAGGCCATCATAACACTTTTATAATATCTGCTTGGGATTTAGTCTTTCTTAAGGATATAGAAATTTAATGGTATGTTGAGACTGTAGAGCCAGTCACAATACCATTAGTGAACTAGTAATATTTGCACCATGAAACAATTCATTTCAGTTTGGTTCTACATTTGACTTTTGTATTCTATCCACAAGTACTATTACTTTGGAGTGTCTGATCAACTTGTATACAAGAGTTTTGACAAAACTTTTTTCTAATTGTTAAAACCATTTGTCATTAGGTTAAGCTGTCATTTGTCATTAGGTCATATTCAGATCGTGTTACATTGGGTTAAGTTATGTAGGGTACAAAATTACCAACATAAGACATAATCTAAGTTTAGACATCATCTGTATTACAATGCCAACCTGGGGTGAGGGTGTACTCTCCTTCAGATGCCGTTTCTCTCTTGATGATAGCAGCAATGTCCTCAACTTTCCTCCTCTTGAGTATGGGCTTTGTGTAGTGTGGATGCTTGGGGTCCCACAGCATGCGGTTGGCCCGTACGAAATATATGAGCATCTCTTCCATGCCTACAGTCCAGATCATGCTAACATCCCGTTCTAACGAGTCGTTTCCAGGTCTGGCATACCTTCCATCGGGCCCAAGCTGTCTCCCGTAGCTACACGTCTCTGCTCGCCTCGCCTCCATATCGGGCGAAATGTCTAATATGTGAGTTGACGGCGATTTCAACAAGATCTCCTTTGCGACATGTGCAGATGAGGTAAAGTTATCACCTCACAGATGATTTCCAGCTGTTGTTGTGTTGATTTAGGGGCGAGGACGATCGTGGGATCAGATGTGTCCTTGTTTACGTCGGTTCACCCAGCAGCTGTTCAGCAGTCGAGGTGGACTACTTTCTCGCTAACTTTAGCAACCTGGGAAAACGAATACAAAATACAAATACAAAATACAAATATTTATTCAGGTAAAGTACATACATACAAGGTGAAATACAAAAGTTGATGGATTTATAGATAGAGCTAGTACATACAATGCCTAAAGCCACTATTACAGAAAGCGTTTTGGCTCTTGTCCTTCACTTATATCAATTTTATATCAATAAATTTAAATTTGATCATTATCGGTAAAATATATATATTTATGGCCTAAACACATATAGGAAGATTTTTTTTATATGAACATTTTAGATTATTTTTTTATTTACCGCTAAGCATAATATTTCCCGCTAAGCATTTGGTACTACTTCAAAGGCCGCGCTATGTCATCAAGCTGTAATAAATTAAAAAAAAAAATCCCGACAAATTTAAAATCTTTTAAATTTTGCCCCGAGGGGCGAGTTTATTGGAGAGCGCCACTCATCCTGTGAGGGGACACACCGCCATAGCAGCATGTACAACACTCCCCAATAGGAAGAAAACCCGCTGGGTTGTTCATCCTGTCACTTGTACCCCAGACACAGCTGGGACTTGCTTAACTGTCTCAAGTGCTCAAACAGCTCCTCAAACAAGAAGATTAACATCTGTCAACCGGTAGGTGAGTTTATTAGGCAGTTTGAGACAACCCACGAGTGAAGCTACTGCCATGGCAGCACATACAGTATACATTTATTTTATTTATTATTTTTTTTATTTATATAGTATACAAGAAGGTACATTGGGTTCATGAGAGTACATCATTGCATTGATGTTTTCCCATTCTTGTAAAACCACTGGCTTTCATGTAAGATATATATTCCTTGAAATGTAGTCACATTATCTTTTACATCTGTATTTTTTATTTTGACATATAGACCTTTAAGGTTAATTTGCATATATTGCCCAAGACGCTATGCGTACTAGTAGCTTTAGGGGGTCCATCTAATTACCGCAGGCTACCACAAGCTACACAAAGCTTCCTGGCAATACGTTAGTAATGAATAAATATGATATGTTAGGTTAGGTTAACCTAACCTAAACTAACCTAACCAAACCAAACCTAACCTAACCGACGCTTGGATCGCGACTTGATTTGGCGTCACCAGCTCTTTATTTTCGTCTAATTTCTTTATAAAAAAAAATACTTTTTCAGATTAAAATGGTTTTTTCGTGTTGTACATTCAGCACCAACATTATAATGAGTAAATATATCATATTTATTCATTATTAACGTATTGCCAGGAAGCTTTGTGAAGCTTGTGGTAGCTTGTGGTAATTAGACGGACCGGCTTTAGGTATTGTATGTACGTACTATCTTTAAATCCAGCATTATGTTTGTAACTCATCTTATATGTATGTACCTTTATCTGGATAAAAAATCTAATCTAATATTCAAATTAATTACAAAATTGATTGGCTTGTGTACACGGGACTGGTCAAATCGTCTACTACCGCCTCTGATACCATCAGTTCAGTACACCAAAAACAAGTTGGTTCATTAACAATCTGGTAGAACCCTTTTGTATATACATATGTTCTGGGTTGTGTTCCCTACTGTTCTCCTCTTCCAAGACACTAATATAAAAAACGAGACAATAGAAATCTGGACACTATGCACCGAAGTGTCTGGACACTAGCTCCACTCTGTCTGGACACTAGGCACTAGTGTCCAGACAGACACCACCTAGTATCCGGACACCCTGGTGCCGAGTGCCCAAACACCCTGGTGCGTAGTGTCCAGACATCCTGGTGCCTAGTGTCCAGAGACCTTGGTGCCTAGTGTTCAGACACCATGGACCTATTGTTTGGACACCCTGGTGCCTAGTATCTGGACACCATGGACCTATTGTCTGGGCACCATGGACCTAGTGTTCAGGCACCATGGACCTAATGTCTGGACACTCTGGTGTCTAGTGTACGAACACACTTGTGCTTAGTGTCCAGACACCCTTGTGCCTAGTGTTCGGACACCTTGGTGCCTAGGGTACAGGCACAATGGATCTAGTTTCTGGACACACTAATGCCCAGTGTCCAGACATCCTATTGCCTAGTGTCTGGACACCATGGTGCCTAGTTTCCTGACACCCTGGTACCTAGTGTCCAGACACCGTGGACCTAGTGTCTATTTAATTTGCCAGTTAACAGTAAATATAGATAATATACCATATGTAGGAGTGGAGATTTGCAAACATTTAATACTTCATTGGGTTAGCACTTGGCTTACTCCTTTTTTGCTATGAGATCTTTATAAGGGTTTTAGAATGGCCTACATTTAACAATAATAAAGTCTTCTTTTTTTTCCAAATTTTATGTGCACATATCAGTACTGTGAGATACAATACAAAACAAAACTGCATTTAAGTATATAGTTTGCTGTTATAGCCTATAAAATATACAAACATAGACTTGCAAAGTTGTTAAACTACACCACTCTTATAATTAAAACAACCATGAAATTCTGAGCATCTTTAATATAAAATATGTTATTTGTTTAAGGAACAATTCATATATGTGATCAAGTTTTAGGAATGAGTGAAGGAGCAGAGATACAAAAAGAGAGAAAGATGAGAGAAGGGAGTGGTAGGTTACAGAGTGCATGTATTTTGACAAAAAGCAAGGTGGTGTTACCCCATGGTGTAGTGGTTAAGACACTCGCCTGGCGTTTTGCAAGCACTTTGTCCTGGGTTCATATCCTGGCCGGAGAGGATTTACTGGGCACAAATCCTTAACTATAGCCTCTGTTTAACTCAACAGTAAAATGTGTACCTGGTTGTTAAACGATTTTTCGCGGGGTCGTATCCCAGGGAATATAGGATTAAAGAGTTGCCCGAAATGCTTCGCGTACTAGTGGCTGTACAAGAATGTAAGCACTCTTGTATATATATATAAATAAATAAATAAAAGTGGTCTTAACATTGTCTACAACAATCTTCAGCAGCTAGATAAGGAGTGACTAAAATATAAATTATTTACATCTTAATGGTTTGCCACTTATAATGTTTTGCCACATGCATTAATTAACAAATAAAAGCAAATAGCAGTTGCATGAATGGACATTTAGACTATATTCAAAACTTGTGTAAGAAAGCAAAATATGTTAAAGTTTTGCAATAAATAAAAAATATATGTCAACACTCCTCTTAGTCAAGGGTACCCCTCATAATATAAATAATTTGTACATAAAATACTTCAAAGATTTCCAAGTCTAAACAAAAATATTCCACATTTATAAAAGTCTGCTTCCTTGCTAAAACAGGTAAAGAATAATCTTTATATCAATTTATACATCAAAGCTGGTCCACATCTGATAACAAAAATGAAGCTGGTCCACATGATGGCTGCTGACTTAGAGCTGCAGCGTTTACAACACCCTCCACTCATCAGCTGCCAAGAGTAGCCTGTTTATGTGCCAACCTGAAATGTACGAGGTATTGTATACACAAACATAAGCTTAAGTCGTTCAACCCATGATATATGAATCAATTACAAGAAAGATTTTAGCTAAATATTCTTTTGTTATACCAAACATCTAAGTATCTTCTTCAAATATCTTTGCCTTTCTAAATGGAAGGAAAACAGTATTTAATTAAAATTGATTAATGAAAATCATCATCATAAATTTAGGATTCAATATACCTTTTGCTTGGAGATTGTGCAAGAAGGTTGGAAAAATTTTGTGTGCATGGTGTCTGACTTTTGCAATGAACTCTGAATCTGGTGTTGTTGTTGATAGTCCCTCGGCAACATATTCACCAGACAAGAGAGCACCCTGTAATGATGATAATCTTGCTAACAAAAAGTGGAAATTAAATTTTAAAGTTATTCATTTTGCTGATAGATCACAAATATATAGTTACTCTACATTGAAAACCTAATTATTTCCATGCAAAGCATTCATTACCTCTGAAAAATGGATGTAGTTAATGACACACAAATATGCTGTCAAGACTGCTTCAAGTTCTTCCTGCGCTGTGATCCCTGGCCGGTAGATAATATGGAGCTGCTTGTCTTTCAGGCTTCCACATAACTGGATAATTAAAACAAGCACATTAAAATCGAGCACAAAAAGCAAAAATTATACTATGAGCTGACATCATATTTTTTAAGACATCTCAAGTGTCAGTATGAATCACAAAACTAAATCAATAACTTAAAAAAAAGACAACTTCCTAAAGACAGATGCTAAATTTCTTACAAGCTAGAAAGTAATGTATGAAACAACTTTTGTTAAGATTCTAAGAAACAGTCATGTGGGGTTTGAAAAATGTAATACAGTACTGGCATTATCTTTTAGCCAAGCAACCATGAAGTTACCAGTTGCATAAACTGTACTGTAATATGTTCCAAGTTGATTGCTGTTTGACTATCCAGTTGTGTTTTGCCTAAATTTAC